GTCTGCGTTGGCTAAGTGGTGGTTCGTTTCACGATATTCGCATCAATTCTGGTGTAAGTGTCGGAGCATTTTACACGTCAATTCATCAGGTGGTAGACGCCATAATTTCACACCCTGATCTCCAGTTAAACTTTCCTACAACGTTAACCGAGCAACGGCACGCAGCCAAGGCATTCACAAGACTTAGTAACTCGGGATTATTTAAAGGTTGTATCGGGGCAATTGACGGATGGCTTTGCCCGATTCAAGTTCCATCCAGAGCTGAAGTCGCGAGAGTTCGTTCGTTTTTTAGTGGTCACTATCAACGGTACGGTGTTAATGCTCAAGCTTGCTGTGACCACCACAGCCGGTTCACTGCAGTTACCTGCTTAAGTCCTGGAGGATCTGGGGATGCGGTAGCATATCTAAAGTGGCAGCTTTCAAATGTTGTTGAAAACCTTCCGAGTGGACTTTACGCTGTTGGTGATAATGCATACACCAACACAAATCACCTTTTAACCCCATTTCCAAGGCCACGAATATCATCGGCAGCACATGACAGCTATAATTTTCATCTGAGTCAGCTCCGCATCCGAATTGAGATGGCATTTGGTCTGTTGGTGTGCAAGTGGCGCGTGTTCAAGGCGCCACTAGAAATTGGATTTAAACGGGTCCCGTCTACTATATTAGCCGCTTGTATCCTGCACAACTGGTGCATCAACCAACGCCTGCGTGAGAACAACCGCTACTGTGTGGAAGATGACGAAGACTTAATTGATGGTATTGACGAGGTGGGCCGTGAACAAGTAGCCATACAAGATGCAACGATAGAATTACACGATGCTTCGATCTATCGGCGTTTGTATCAGTCGTCAGATCTAGCAATTGATGGAGACACAACCAGTTGTTCGGAGTGGGCCCGCAATGCGCTGGTTGGGCTAATTGAGCACGAAGCGATTTTGCGTCCAATGCGCAATATTGCTAGACGAGCACAGCAGAGCCGAGAAACGCTATAAGCCTCATTAGTATCGTTAAATGCCAAAACACTGAGTTTTATTTCGTATGTGAGGGATTATTATCTGAACGGTTCATATCCAGCAAAAAAAACACGAATGTCCACGTCTGCGAGGTCGAGATTTTTTTAAGTCTTCGTGGACGTTGATCTGTGGGTGTTGTGACGTCAATCCATAGCCTCCAGTTGGTTCTCGTAGCGGTGTAGGCGCTGCTGATACTTTAGAAGACTCGCCTCTAGTGAAGGATCGGTAGCTCCATCCATCTCCGATTTCGTTGACTTTCCTTTACTTGAGCAATGAGCTGATGCAACTTTGCGATACGATCAATGAGCTGGCTCTCATCTTGGGTTCCACGAGTGCTTAATGAAGCCGTTGGAGATGTAACTGGAGCTCCCAGCAGATAATCTGCCATCCTGGTTACCGTACTAACCACTTGATTCTGCCATTTAGCTGTTTTGTTGGTAGGTGTGATGCGGCGAGAAATAGCTAGCTTCAATGAGTCAATTTCATCTTCTGGGTGCATGCCACCATTGACGTAGTGTTCGAGCTCGGGCTTAACTTCAGTGCAGATCTTTAGATAGAGTGTATCTAAGTTGCCGTCACAAAAATTGTAGAAGTCGTTGCTGTTCTGGCCGGAGACGAAAATTTTTGCTTGCGCCTTCTTGTACTTTGCGCTGCCTTTTTTCCACATGTCGTAGAGCTTGGCGTCATCGTGGTGCACGATCATGGAGGTGTTAATGTTGCCGAACCCTGAATTGTCGGCTGCCTTGTCGAATAGTTTGTTGTAGTCGGTAGTATTTCGCCGAAACTCCACACCAACATCTTTCCAGAATGT